TTGTCGAACTCTTTGTGGACACGTTGTCAAGATTGCTTCTGGTTGTTTGCGTCTGTGTGATCTGGATTCCTCAACGGGAATAATTTGCCTTTGGGGCAGGAGTTGTGACGTCCTGCATCTAGCACTGTGTTGGAGTGTAATATAGTTTCTCAAGTCCTCTCATGGACCTGGTATTGGGAATCCCTTCTACAGGACTAACTCTAATCTCGATCATCTGTATAGAATTAGCATTAAAATACTGTGACGTTACCAGCGTTAAGTGTTTTCTTCGACATCAAGTTGCCAACAATGATTTATCATGTTTTTTTGTCCATTTATAATTACATGTAACTTTGTGGACTGTCCATGAAACAAGTTAGTTCCTGTTCTCACTTGCGTTATAGCAGCTGTAAAGGCTCGTTCTCTGTGGTTTTTTGGACAAGGGACATTTTTCTAACTGACTGTTACAAAGCTCTGAAACTGTAGACTCCAATTGGAGTAAAAGTAATGTCACCTGTGTAATATCACACTGTATAGTGACTTTATTTATATCACTATTAGACTGTCACATCACTCATCCCCAGCTCATATACGTCACTGTTTCTGAGAGTCAAGCTTTTCATTAGTCATTTTTTTAAACGCATTACATCTGAGCCTGAAGTTTTCCATGGCTCAGATCTCACAGAAACAGGGTGAAATGTCTCTGCTCTGCATGTGCGCTGTGATCTCCACTTAACTGAGATCGACCCCGTTCTCGTCTTTGTTTTCCCCTGAAGGTGTATTTCGTCTCTTCATCTTTAGTTCAGTAGAGTAGCGCAATACACGAATGTCCGTAGACACAGAGTCAGCATTTAACACCCATCCACGTATGCACGGTATACATTTCCTGTACGTGACCCGCTGCTCAATTATCCATCGATGCCACGGACTTCTGTAGATGGCCTGTTTTTACTGTCTGAACATCGCTGTGGTGCTGTCGATTCGGTCTTATTCACTCCTTGTCCTTCATGTTGCCTTTGCACAAAATCCACTCTCTCTTCTCGGCCCCGAGGGTGTGATTATGAACTGGCGATAAGCCGTGTCTTATCTAGCACTCTTGGCAAGCATAATGCACAAGAGAAAACACCGCGAGGAACAACTGTAGGATCATTCAGATGTGTGGGGGTTTTTTTTTTTGTTTTTTTTTAAGAGACTCTCATCAATTACAGTCTCACAGAATCCGCTTTTCTCTGCATTGTTTTTCTTTGTCGTTGGTGCAAATGTCTCAGAATGCAATGCACCTGTAAGAGATAGTTGTACCGATATACAGCAGAGACTCACCTCGATGGTCTGAGCAGAGTGTACAGATGAGGAAGAAGTGGCCAGACTGAAGGACTAAACCGCCGCTGCATCATTCTCCTGATGTAGAGATGAATCAAACGTTAAATCTCACTGGTGCCGCTATTAACCGGAAGTCCTATGGCATTGTGGGTAAAATAGGACGTGGGAATTCCCAGACGCAAGACGACACCATAATAACAGTCGTGTCGCTTTTCTGTCCTTTTATTTACGATGTAAACCATGTAATTGCACACTTTAGCGTTCGGTCATGTGCACCACTAAGATACGAATAGACAGCGTTTACATGCAGAACGATTGATCAGTGTTCAAGTTGTGGTTAACAACTTGATTTACTTGTTTAGTGCTTAACCGGTTTCTTGGTTGAGCTGGTTTTGCCAACCGAAAGCGTGCTCCTCAGACAGTAAGAAAGCACCGAGTGGCTAAAAAGTAAGTGCTATAAAATATATAAAACTCTTTGCTCTTAGAATGATTCACACCAGTGTGTTTGCTTATGCGGTGGCTAATACAAAAGGTAGTGCTTGGTGGGTTGTTGGTAATATGACTCATGCTAATTTTATGTGTCTTCGTGTGTGTGTGTAGCTGACTCCTGGGGGAAAGGCAGCTCACGCCGGAGTCGGAGTGGGAGACAGTGTGGTGTCCATTGAAGACTCCAACGCTGAGGAGATGACACACGTCGAGGCACAAAACAAGATTCGAGGCGCATCTGAATCCCTTACTCTGACACTCAGCAGGTACACACTCAAACGCTTAGCAGTACTCCAGTTGAAGCGACATTTGTCACTCGACTAAACACTTCCTTGTTTTAAAATGCAGTATGGGGGTCGAAACTACCGTACTCCTGAGGTTAAAATCCCTTTTGTGTCTGACAATGAGTTCTTAAAAATGTGTTCCAAAGAAAGAAAGAAACAATTTGGATTTTGCTTTAATTTTTTTTTTTAACCACAGGGTTGTGTGCCCTTAATGCCATGAAAACTACTGAAATATTTTACAGATTAGGTTTTCCTACCATGGACCGTGACACTCCAAATTTAGCATTTCGTCCATGATGAACAGATTCATTTCCAGAAAGGTGGGGTGGGGCTTTTTTATTTTTTTTATTTTTTCCCTTTCCTTTCCTTTCTCCTGCTGAAATTCTTCTAATATTAAACCCCTGAAGGGCTCATTGCACTGGGACAGATCTCCTTTCTCTGTCCAACTGAGATTAAAATCACATCTTTATCTGATTGGTTCGACCGTCTGAACTTTTACTGCATTGACTGCAGGCCGGTCATTTCTAAGCGAAGATCTATGCCAGATATGTGGGACATATGAGTGAATTTTTCAGAAAAATTGCAATCCAAGAGTCCAAGGAGAGTGAGGTTATAATCGTGTGAAATGTGCTCTTTCTGTTCAAAGGCTTGAACGATTCTGTGGTTTGAGTAATGGGAGCACAGGCTTGCCCGGTAGTCTCACACATACACGGCGTCTCCCTCTGCTCTTCATCCTCGAGAGCTCTGTCATTATCCTGCCGCTGTTGTATCAACACACACGCGCGATGAAAACCCTTCGTAGCGACCCAAGCCGTACACTTCTCCTTTTTCGGCACGAGAGGAAAATGGCTGCCTTGAGAATTACTCAGTAAACCCCACGCAGCGGTTATCCAAGGCTAGAATAAGTGTAACACGTTGAGGTAACTGAGAGTGACGTCAGTATGGTTCATGACCTGGCACACCCATAACGGCGTGGCAGTCTTTTTTTAGCTCGAGTCTAGAGCCAGAGGATTTGCTTGACTCCAAAACCAAAATTCATTACAGAGATGAGACTCCAACTGGCTTTGGGAGGAAAAGGGCGTGCAGTTCAAAGCATAGAAACCTCGGGAAAAGAACCAGTACAAGACAGATGTTGGATTCTCGAATCTGATTGGTCAGATTGTTCACTGATTTTTCTATAACAGCAAGTTTATATCAATGCACTAGCTATTGTTTCTATAGTAACAGCTAACACTTGTATGTAGTCGGTGTGAAGAAATGATTATCATTAGGGCTGGGTATTGCGACCAGTTTGGCGATTCGATTATTATTTATATGGTTCCGATTTGTTTCGAATTCGATCCAATATCGATTCTTTATTGATATTTCATTTAAAATGTTAGTTTTGCAGACACGGAATACTTGCCTATATTGCTGAAATACACATTTACGTTAACAATAGGGCCTGCACAATTATGTTTCATTACTTTAACTTTTTATTTTGGGTAACATTGTAACAATACAATGTATACGTTTTATATAGAAGGTAAGCACAAACTGCGCTTAGTTGTACAAAAAAACATTGTAAAAGTGCAACAGTGATTCATTAATAACTTGAAACATGTTTAAGAAATAAAACCGTTTTCAAAATTCAAAACATGAAAGAATCTTCAGAACAAGAGGCGAATTACAGTTAATATTCATGTCCTCTCAAGTGAAGCACGCACGTTAAGAATCGATTCAGGGATTTCGACCACATTGAGATCATTTCGTTAAATCAAAGATCGATTAAAATCGAAGAATCGATAGTTTTTACCCAGCCCTAATTAACATCTATGGAAGGAGTCTCCAGTGTCAGCGATTTTCGCTACCTCCTTAAGGAGTTTGCATTTCTCTGTAACATGACGATCTGCATAACCGAGAACAGAAACTAACTTGTTTCTTGAACATTAAATAAAACTACGGTCGCCTCCAAAACAAATGGAACGGCAAGGCCATTTCATTTGCTGTAGACTGAAGACTTTCAGTCGACCAAGATGACAAGAAATCGGTATCGGCTGTAAAAATCCTGATCCTTTCTCAAAAGAGAGTTTAGAATTTCAGCTTTTATTTCCTGTTATTTATATGCAGATTTTGTAGGCGAGCAAAAAATATTGGATCATGTGACCTGACCGGTGTTTCTTGTTACCCAGGTGTGCCCTGTTCAATTGATTTTGTTTAAACAATAAATCTACTCTTGGTTTTAGTCTTCAGATTCACCTGTGAAGACTGCATTTGTTGTTAAAAAGGATATACCAGCAAGATTAGATAGCTGTCTATGGGAGAAAAGCAAGCTGAGAAAAGGGGGAAAATCTGTCAGAGGCAGTGCACACCATTGGGGATAACCAATAGTTTCAGTGCTGATAAGTAAGAAATTGTAATTGTTGTAATTGTTGCTGTGGTATAAGAGGGATAAAACTCTTCAGGACATGCTGTTATAGGAAAATAAGCAACTTCAGGGTTGTCAGATTAACGACGCTTCAACATTACCACTCTGCGGTGGATTATTTTCAAATAACACGTGCCTCGGAGTGTTTTGTTCCATGCTCACACATTGTTCATCAGTTAATATGATGCGTGCCGGTATTCAGTAGAGACAAATTCACAATTTTTACAAAAAGTGTCTCACTTAAGTGAACATGCAAAACATCATTTAAAAAGTGTTTTCTGTGTTGTTGCTGGGGCTGGGCGATACAACGATATAATATTAGAATCATGATAAACTACTGTATATCACGGTTTGTACATAATTTGAGATATTCTCAGTATCATGATATCTTTTCATGACCCTTTTTTGGAAGCAGCTGATTTCTTTTTTTGTATGTTTAATATTGTAAAATGATGGGTGTTTTTTAATGCTAAAAATGTATTCTTTAGCTAAAATTCCTCTTTAATTAAACGACTCCTTTTGGGCACATGGTGGCTTAGTGGTTAGTACGTTCACCTCACACCTCCAGGGTCCCGGGTTCAATTCCGCCCAGGCCATGAGTGTGTGGAGTTTGCATGTTCTCCCCGTGCTGCGGGGGTTTCCTCCGGGTACTCCGGTTTCCTCCCCTAGTCCAAAAACGTGCATGGTAGGAAGATTGGCATGTCTCAAGTGTCCGTAGTGTATGAATGGGTGGGTGTGTGTGTATGTGATTGTGCCCTGCGATGGACTGGCACCCTGTCCAGGGTGTACCCCGCCTTGTGCCCAATGCTCCCTGGGATAGGCTCCAGGTTCCCCGTGACCCTGAAGAAAGGAGTAAGCGGTATAAGATGGATAAAAGTATCCTTTTCAGTTAATTTATTTTTGTACACATCAAATAAATGCGTACAACACATTTTAAAAAGTTAACATTTTTTTTAATGTGACTCATAAAGTCAATTACAATTATCATGATCTGATGTTTTATCGAGTTGGCGTGTACATGACTCATGAAATTTCACTGTAATGTATTGGCATGTTTTTGCATTATGGGTGTAAGGTGTGTGAAACTGTCCTTCATTCCTACTCTAAAGTTGAATACAGACCATTTTAAAGTGTTTTCTTTCCTTCTTGAGGTTTTTCCACAGTACTGTTGCCAAAATATTAACTGTCTTGGTGCCCTTGGGTTACCGTGCCCTTTTCAAAAGGTACATAAAGATATATAGATTCCCTATTTGGCAATTTTTTAGGACCGCATCAATGAAAATTGTTGTAGTAATTTTTTTTAATGCAGAATATAATGAAATATAAAGGACTCAATTATGCTGTGAAAATCTCCTTGATGCTTTAAGTAAGAGATGGTTTTAAAGCCATCACATGATCTTCGTCTCTTTGTTTTCAAACTGTTTCTACTCATACGCTCAGACTGCCTACTGCGTAAAAGCACTGTTTATTGGAGTCGTAACCCTGGGCCCTGTGGTTTTCTCCTCTCTTGTTACAGCAGTTCGTCAACTGTTGTAGCCGGTCATGGTAAAATGACAAAGATCATTGTCTGTGAGAGGAGGTAATTGAAGGTGTGAGTCAGAACTTGTCCATGTGGTTACTCTGGAGGTTTTCTTTGGTAAAGACAAGCTTTCCAGTTTGATTCACCATCGCTTACGAACAAGTTGCACAAGCTTGTTTTGTAAACTGTCCAGACTGGACATTCCTGCACGCGTAAAGCTTTTGTACGAATGGTGGTTTGTTTTACATTTCAATACAGCGGAGGTTGTCTTTGTTCAGCTTTATATTCTGACCGTAACATACCTTATGAGTAAAAGGTGCGCTTTACAGTTAGTTGGGTTGTTGATGTTTTATTTGCTTCGTATTCAGCGCAGTCAGTCATCCATGTGTGGCCATTTCATGTGTTTTGTATCAACTTTGAGGTCATGGATCATGCATGCTATGATGTAATGCATTCAGAGGGATTTTTGGCATCTAGCTGAATTGCAGCTCTGGTCCTGAACTCTTAGCATTATACTAAGTGTCTCTCCTCTCTCAAACAGCTGTCCCACTAGCCTTTTTTTCTGTGAAATTGCTCGTGTAATTATATTCATTTCCCTGGCATTCACTACAAACAAAGATTTTGGCATTGAAATCCATGCTTCATGGACCTATAGCATAACCTCTTTGGCTGTGTTGAACGCTGAAGAGGTGGTTCTTCAGATTACAGTACAAAAAGATCCAAAATGGAGGAAGCACTTATTTTAGCAGTGAGATTTTATATAGCACTTCCTAATCCTGCTATAAATTACTCCATAAAAAGAGGAAGGACGCACGATCAGGCATACAGTGGGATTATGTGACTTTGTATTTTTCTACTATTTATAAGAAATTTAGTTAGCTAATTTGCTACAAAAAATAATTGCACAAATTTGAAGACACAAGGAAGTTTGCCAACAAACTCAGTGTTTAAGTCTCATGTTTTAGATGAATTCATTTAGAAAGTTGAATTGCATTTACAAAGCAGGGCTTTAAAAAAAAAAAAAACTTTCCTAATTAGCAACTTACTCACTAAATAACCTTCCATTTTACTAACTTACATGCCTAGTAATTATCTTAGTATCTTCTCTAAGGAACTTTCTTAACTTAATAAACAAGTTACAGTAAGCTCCTGACTATCATAATTAGCAAATTTAGAAACTTGGTTACTTGCTAATCTTATTTATTAACTGTCTTGCTTAGGAACTTAGAAACTTAGTATGTAACCTTGGTAACTTGTATACTACTTTCTTACTTGCTTGCTTTGTTTATGGCCATACTTAGGAACTTACTCAGTACTTGCTTTGTATTTTACTTGGTAACATAAGAAATTTCCTAGAAACTTTCTTAGTAACTTACTTCCTTATTTAATTACATACCTAGGAACCTACTTACTTACTTGCAAAGCAACTTACTTAATAACGTATCACTTGGGTCACACCTATTTTACAAGTAGACATGAACATGCAAATTTCCAGGACAACTGGGGCTTAATTTCATGAACTCTTTGATTACAAAGCTCTCTTGAGTGATTATTCTTATTTGAGTGTTTTAGATAAATAAATAAAATAAAACACATGGTATGCGGTTCTGAGTTCTGCCAGAATTGGGAATAAAGACTGCTGCCTTTGTCAGTTTGTATCTAGTACCAAGTAAAACATTATTCGTTGTAATTCAATAAAGGCGTCATGTGGTGATGAAGTGTCCCAGGAAAGCAGCCATTTGGAATCCCACTGAACGGCTCGTTCATCTCCCACTTCACATCTGGTGTTTTTATGGCTTTATGGTGCACTGAAATGGCTTCACTCCGCATTGTTGTCCCATCCTGTTTCCTGCAGCCGTGCCCGGCTCAGATAACCTCGTCCAGGTTGGAGACTTAAAAAGGCCATGCTACTACAGAGAACTGCTGATGAGCCCACAGGAAATAATGCACAGTCACAGGAAATGCAAACTCATGAAGAGCCGCACATTAGAATATCATTTGTGGTTTTTCCTCGCTCTTTTTTTTTCTTTTTTCTTTTTATGGGCAACTGAAGGAGAACTACAGAACGATACAGATGTTGAAAACGTGAGATGTCGCGTTGCTGTGTTCCACTTGCTTTTTGTGACTTGTCTTGTAACCTGACTATAATGACGGGTTTTGCCGTCTTAGTATGATTTTTGTGGTTTGTATTTCTGCCCAGCTCCAGGACCTCTTACCATAACCACATATAAAATGGATATTCCATCTAAAACTAATCACTAGTTCCATGTTCCTTGGTGTTGTCAATTTCAGAAATGTTCCCCAGACAAAGCGGCTGGGGGGAAAATGGGGAAAAAAACCCCAAAAACCTTTTTTGTTTGTTTGTTTTTTGGTTAACAAAACTATTCTTCTGGAAGATTTGGCAGGGTCGCATGAGTGTGCTGAAATTTTACTCCTCCAGGACACTAAATGTTTGTATTACTTTATGACTCAAGATCACCCAGGACAGTAATCAGAGTTAGATACATATGTTTGGTATGTTTATGCAAATTCACTTCAGTGGTTAGCACATTCGCCTCACACCTCCAGGGTTGGGGGTTCGATTCCTACCACGGCCCCGTGTGCAAAGTTAACATGTTCTCCTCATGCAGTGAGGGTTTCCTCCGGTTTCCTTCCCCGGTCCAAATACATGCATGGTAGGCTGATTTAGCATTTCCAAAGTGTCTGTAGTCTGAATGTGCATGTGATCATGCCATGCGATGGATTAGCACCCTGTCCATGGTGTACCCCATGTTCCCTGGGATAGGTTTCAGCTTCCCTGTGACCCTGTAGGATAAGCGGTATAGAAAATGGATGGAGGGAGCTCAGACTTCATACACCGGTGCTTAACTTTGACTTTCTGTGCAGCTCATTTTCATTATTGAAATTACTTGTGCAAAGTTCATGCCTCCGAGGTTGCCAGGTTTTTGAGTTTCGATCAGTTACGTCAATTAAAAAAAAATGCCTTCAAGCACCAGATGGAAATTATGGATAGATTTTATTACATTGAAATGTAAAAGCAAGAGGGATTTTGACTAATATGATAATATAGAAATGAACGGATTTATTCATTCGAATAGTAGAAAAATATGAGGGCGAGTCAAATGAAAACCGAATGAGATGGAGATTTTGTCACTCTTTGTGACACCCATTTGCAATAAACAATGCAAAAAGAAAAAGGTAATCATTTGATTCAGAAGGTGTGTCTCAATCAGCTCTCGTCAGTATATGGTGTACATGAGTTCAGGCACTGATAGGGACCCTGACTCTACACATTGGGACACATTTCCAGCCACATGAAAACATACTTTACATGAAAACATACTCGTGTTACAAAATGTCACTACTGACATTTATCAAGAACAGGCAGGACCGATATCTATCTGATATTATTGGTCATTAAATTTGTTAGCGTAATCACATGCATTTGGTAGGCATGCGACTTCAAGCAGGATTGTAGGCTAGCTAGTGGATTTTTTAATAATTTTTTTTAATCATTAAACACTTAGTTAGCAAACCGTATATACAACGTCAAATAAAGTTAAAAATCACGAACTTATGTCATTATTTGAGAGCAACAACAATAAACAGCTACTTGCATTAGTAGTACTTGCCGGCTTTTTTTTTTTTTTGAGCCGAGAGACTTCAGAAAATTGTGAAGACATTTCCAGTAAGTGAAGGTAGAGAGCACTGATGCTCCCTGGTTTTTGTGATGCATTGTGGGATTTTTAGAGAGTGAACGCTCCAATGCACTAGATGGATTTTGCGATCGAGACAGCCCCTAAAAATGGCCATCTCCCTAATCACACCCTGACTACTGAACTATGGAGCCAATTGAGACGCACCCACAGTCGTGTATTCAGTATCTGACCTCCACCCACTAGCTGATACTGCAGAAGTGTGTCTTATCCTAGATCCTACTGCAGAAAGTCCATGGTTTTGCACAAATTGTCCAGTATTTCCAGTGTAAAATGTATGGACGCTGCAACAAACCTCCCATTGTAACTCTTATTTATCTTTTTAAATCTCTCCTGAAGGTACAGAAGCAATAAAGAGAACCAGTA